TTGCACAGTACATTGAGACAGAAAAAGGACCGCATTTAACTGCTACAGGAAACACTGCCCAGATCAGGACAGTTAACAATGGGAATTAGCAAGAGAAGCACAGAATCTTCACATATTTCACAAATAAGAACACAGGTGCCTTTTTTTCTTATGTTTATGTAAAATGAGCAGCAATCATCACCCACATGTAATTGCGAGGAGTTGCTTTTGTGAGAAGCATAACAAGATTCTCCCATCTCTCTTCAAACCTCAAGCAATACTTAGATGTTGATCACTACAAGGATGTTATATCAGAGCATCATTAACTTATCCAACAAAAACGTTATTCCATGCCTTTTCTATACCATCTACAACCATTTCAGAGATTTTCGACTAGAAGAATTTTTCATCCTTTTTTGGCGGATTAGGATCATGATCATAACAAGAAAAATCACAGGAACACAACAAAGGGAAGATCAGATGATGTACCTGCAATGGAACCAAGAGCTTCGGCAGCCTCATGTCTGACCATTGGATGTTCATTTGCATCTCTAAGTATTCTACAAAGTGCAGCAGAAGCAACTTTGTTTTGCAATTGGCCCAAAACATAAGCAACCTGAAAAATTACAGAAAAGGTATTCAGAAAACATGAAACAGCGTTTTGCAATAAAAAAATTAAATTGAAGCTAAAGAGAGTCAAGAGACATTGTAGTTCCAAATAAACTCAGAAAGGAAGAACTGAGGTGCTTTTCAGTAGACGCTATCTCTATTTACCAATGCAGAACACACCACCAAATAACAGACAAGCTGAAGTTTCCACTAGAATATCTACATGATTATGTACACTATCCACTTGAAAAGACAATGTAGGACAAACCACAATTAGCATAAACATAACTAGGTTTAAGGAAGCTCAACAAACCTCATGCTTGAGCAATGCACTACTTGCAGCAAAAGAATCAACTATAGCAGAAACAGCTTCATCCCCACCGCGATTCCGAAGTGCAAAAAGTGCACCGTAGCGCTCATACATGCTTCTTTTTTCATCCAGAAGAACTCCCCTTAAAAGTTAATTGATTTCAGTCAACAACCCAACAAAATCTAGTATGTAAGGGGGGAAAAATATCAAGTCCATAGACAAAATACCTCAGCTCATCAACAGAAGAGCAAAACGAAGATGGTGCAGCTGGGTCAACAGACATAAAGGGTGATTTTTCTGCTACTGATGATCCATCAACATTGCTTGTAGAATTCATTTCCTCAATTCGCTTGAGAGCCAGTTCACAAGTTTCTCTAACCTCCTGAGCCGGATCATTAGTCAAACTATTCTTCAAAAAAGGAACATTACTCTCTAAGCCAATTGCACCAAGAGCTTCAGCAGCCTGAAATATAAAAGCATAAACAATATGGAAACAATTAGTACCGTCAACAATAATACCAAGAAAAAAAAAATTATAACTTGATGTGAACGCACCTCATGGCGGACAATAGGATGCAAAGAAAGGTCATTTAGAGCTGCTTCCAGAGCAGGGATAGCTTCAGCATCTTGCATTTGACCCAACGCAAAGGCAGCCTCGTGGGCCAGCAAATTTGAAGAATCCCTAGTTGCTGAAGAGGTAAGGAGGGAAAAAAAATGAATGAAGACAATTACTTAATTTACAATTTTAACTTAAAAATCAGAACTTTTATTCTCCAAAACAAAATAAACTTCATTTAGATAGAAAAACAACTGCTTAATTTACGAATTTAACTTAAAAATCAAAACTTATATTCTCCAAAGATTTTTCACCATATTAGCAAGTAAAAGCTATCAAACTCTTCTTGCCCATAATGTATCTAACCAACTTATCCATAGAGAAGACATTCAACTTAAAAAAAAATCAAAGACAGTTACTTTCTTTCGACGAGCGATTGCTGAACAATACATGCTCCAAAAACTCAAATTCCGTAATCATAATTTCTTTTCTAAGATAAGTCAGCAAAAAAAAAAAAAAAGCATTAAAATTTGATTCAGAAAGCCCAATCCATCAAGCGATTCATAGGACACCTTTCTCTGGCTAAGAAACCCGAAACAAAAGTAAAGTTGATGACAAGCAAGAGAAAGAGAGAGAAACCGCGAATGAGGGCGTTGCGGGGTCCAGGGCCTTTGAGGTTACGGAGAGAGAAGAGAGCTCTAAAGCGCTCGTGGATAGGCTGGGTCTGGTCGACCAACCGTTCACAAAGAAATTGCTCCATGTTGGACCGGGATCCTGTTGGGGTGGTTGTGTCCAAGGAACCCATCGCAGCGGGTGTGGTGGTGCTAAAAAGGCAAGGCTGCTCTGGAGACCATGACACCCACAGAATCGTAAGAATCTACTGCTGCCGCTTTTGCAAGCTACTTGTAAAGAGCACGATGCACTGATTTTTTCCCTCCCCTTTGTATTAAATTATTAATAAATTTAAAGAATTTAAGTGTTTTTGAGTGAAAAACATGTAAAATATTATATATATATATATATAATATTTTTTAATGTTTTGTTTGAAAAATATTTTATATAATTTTTTTTTACTAGTATTGTGTTGAAATAGTGATAAAAAAAATGATTGTACTGAGATAATAATAATAATTGTGGTGATAAAATAATAATAATAGTGAAAGAAATGATAATAATGATACTAACAACAAAAGTGAGGGGTAATAATAATATAATGATGATAGTGAAATTTTATGAGTTAAAAATATTTTTTAACAAATAAATTAAGTTTGAAGGTTGATTGCAAAATATTTTATATTAACTAATTTTTTTATAAAATATTTTATAAGAAATAAACATAAAAAAACATTTTTTTAGAAAATATACATACAAAAATTTAAAAAATATTTTTATATAAAATATTTCAAGTGAAACAATTACATCTTAAAAGAACTTTGGTTTCATTGTAGACCAAACCAAAAAAAAAAAATTGTAAAAGTGACATGAGTTTTTTTTATTTTACTTAATTTTAATTTTTTTTAATTTTTATTTTTTTTATTTTTTCAAGTCAGGTTAATTTAGAATCAAACTTAATGATTTGCTTCATTAACTTCATGCAAGGTTGTTAAAGAAATTTTTTAATGTTCAGTTGATACTTAATTTAATAAAACAAAATTAAACTTCATTGACCTAAAATATTTAAAGGTTTATGGGTTGATTTGCTTGGTTTGCTTCAAATGATTTTATATGGGTTTTTTTAGTGTCCAGGAAAACTTTTGGTGCTTAATTAATGCTCCACGTGGTAGAATAAAATTAGATCTTATTAATTTAAAATAATTAAAGTTTCATGAATTGAATTTGAAAATAAAATAAATATTTAAGAACTTAAATGGACGAAAAAGAAACAAGCGGCTTATACAGCAAGCATGTCAATAGGCAAGAAAGGTTGTTGCACTTGGATGCGCGCGTATGACGACCATCAAACTACATAAATATTATTTTTTTTTGTGTTTGAATTGTCTCGGTGATATATATATTTTTTTATTTATGTAGGGTATCTGAACCAGCTTGCGCACACCACGATTAATCCCCAAGGCCCACTAAATACCTTGTAAACCCAGCAGACAGGTAAGACATCGCGGGGATGACAAGCGTGCACGCCAGAACTCAAACTCATATACAGTGAAAAGAGACAAATCCCTGCCACCGCTAGACCAAACCCCTCGATGTATGGTGATATTTTAGTTTTTGAGATGGTGTATGGTGATAGAGGTTTTGTGGTTTGGTTTCAAAATTCCATTCTTTTCTTTTCTTTTTCTTTTAGCCCTCTTTCCTCTCCCAAGCTTTCACATTTGGCTCTCTCCATGGAGCAAAGAAAGCTGTCATTTGTTTTTGGATGTCAAATTTAAAAAGTAAATTGTGATTCGGTTTATGAAAACTAGATAAATTCATAAAAAATAAAAGAAAATATAGGTTTTAATTTCTAATTAACTTAATATTATAATATAAAATTAAAAAAAATAATTAAAAAAATATAAGAAAAAAAATCAACTCGAGTTAAATTAATATGAAATGAAATTATTAATCAATCTATTATTAAATAATAAAAATAAAATAAAAAATAATTTGAGTCAACTTATTATAACATATTAAATTTGTGATCCATATTGTGACATTATGATAACTATATAGAAAATAAAATGAGACAAAATTAAAAAAATCAATTCCAAATTAATATATTATTGAGAAGTAAAATAAAAAAAAAATTACAAAAAAATAACTAATTTATGATCAAAATATTAAATCGGTCATACATATAGATAAGTTAATAAACTACGCTTCAATTAGATACAACATAAGCATTGAGAAAAATTTTCTAGTGTTTTTTTCTTCTAAATAATATAAAATTAGAGATTTGAATTTTGGAGGGGATCTCTTCTCGAAAATTCAAATTTTTAATTTTATTTCCGTATTCAAGTGAATTAATCATGAACTAGGGTATTTATAAATTTTATTTTTATTTAATTTTTCTTCAATATAAATAACCTAGAATCCTTCTTCATAAGCAACCAAGACATCTCTTTTTAAGAAAATTTAGAATATTTAAGAGTAATTATCAATAGCTACTATATTGTGGTGGGGGGGGGGGATATACACAAAAAAAACAATTAGAGGAGAAAAAAATAAAAATAATTATTTTTATGCTAAAAACAAATATCCTCATCACTTTTAATGGTTTTGCATATAATTTTCTGTATTTTTTATTTTTTTTCTTATCATAAACCGGATCTATAAGATAACTATTGGGAATTACTTTTAAAATACTCTAAAATTTATTCCTTTTTATCAATTAACCATCAAACGACCAAATTCCAAAGTAAACGACATCATCGCAGGTCTCAACTCTCAACCATCAATCTGCTCTGCCTTCCCTCCCTCAGAATCACACGGTCTTTACCCTCCCACGTGCACAGGCAAACCTGCGGGACCCATCCCACAATTTTCACCGTTTTGACCATTCAATCCTTTCTTTGTCCTATAAATATCTAAATCCCAAAAAACTGCACTTCTTCCTTCCCCATCCACTACCTGCCGCAGCTTAAATTCCTGTTTCCCTCCAAAAGGTAACGTTTCGTGTGGTTCTCTCCCTCTTCACCATCTCTTACTTTCTGTGCTAAGATCTTGATTATCTCTCGCTTTCATTGATCATCAATCTCTTCCAACTCTATGAATCTCAACAGCAACTCTAACTTATAATCTATAACCATCACAGTTAGATCTAATAATTTTTCTTTGGCTGCAGCATTTTCAAAAGCCGAGTAAGATTGTTGCTACAAGAGAAGGTACACGTTCTGTGATCTTCTGGCCATGAATCCGCGGAGGTTAGTTAGTTTGCTATTCCTACTCTATCCCCCCCCCCTTTTCCTCTCAAATTGATGCAATTGAACGGTATGGATGAGTGATCGAGGGAGGCTCTAGGCTTTTGTTTGCGGAGTAGCGGCGCATGTTTTTTTCAAATTAAACGAACCTTTTCCTTCTTGAGCTTGTCAAAGTGGCTCATACATTGTGCCGAGTCATATTTAATTCTTGTACCAGCAGCAAGTCTGTAATGAGGAAAACAAGTGATCTGGGTCTCCTGGACTTCGATGACACATATCACAGACATTTATTTATATCAGTCCTTCCTGCTCTAATCTGTTTAGTTTTGGTGGCGAGTCTGTTCAGAATGGTTAAACATGCGATGCATTTATGCTTTGGTATGTGCAAACTGTCCCATACTAGCTTGTACAACTCTACCCTTACTTGCATGTCCCTGATGTGATCCCATAAAGATTTTCCCAGTAAAATCACTGGAAGAGCTTAGCTGCCATAAAACACTCTTCTGATTGATAGAATTAGGACAAATTACACCTCAAACATCACTTTGAATATGCATCATACTATCTGATCTAGCACGAGGCCAGTGGCAATTTTCCAGGAGTCATTTTTTTTGTGTGATGCTGGCATCAGCTGTAAAACTCTGTCCGATAAATTCTTGAAGATGTAACTGGTTTTTTAGGTTTTTTTCTGGTTTCTTATTGTCTGATAGCTTGGATGTAACATAGATGCTTCACTTGTTTAAGAGTTTTGGCCTAGGATAGAAAGTCCTTTAAATATGGTATGTTATCACTAACTCTGGTCACTTGGGATCATAAATTTTACCACTCTCTGTCTCTTTAAGGTTACCCTCATCATTGGTAGCAAGACACTGTCCACTTTTGTTCTTTCAGGTTTGCTTTACAAAACTAATTTATTCCTGCACTTACCTGATTTCACCAGGCGTGCTGTTACAAAAAGCTCTCCAGTGTTGTCTAATAAATTAAAAGGTTTGGTTCTAGTTAATGCATCAACTTTGTTTGTGGTAGTGATGAAAGCCTTCCTGGATTGAACTCTGATGAAACTTATGCCATGGAGAATGTGTCTTGGTGTGAGATGGTTTTCCACAACATGAATTTCTATAAAGTGAGTGTGCTGATATAAAATCATTCTGTAACATGCTTTACATTGTGTGCCCTGTCCAACACACTCGTGAAAACATGATAAGATATACACTGTTACTGTGTTTATTAAGTTTTTGTTCCACTCTTTTGCTTACCATAAGTTCTCCTTTTGATTTTGCATTGTGACACAAGTCATTGTTCTAATATCCTCGTCAATCATGAAAACGATATGCATTTCTGGTGGTTCTGGTATGAGTGAAGACACTTGTTAGTAGTTAAGCATGACACAATTTCTTGGAAAAATGAATATGGAGACTGAAACTTAACTTGATCTATCAACTACCTTCCTAGTTTACTTGAGTTACTCCTAATATTAGTGGAGGCTGCCCATAGTTATTTAGTTAATGTGTACTGTTTGTGCCTTTGCGGCATCAACTTGATTTTTGGCATCTTACTAGAATCCTTTTCTGCGCAGGGATGTTCATAACAATAGGGCTGCTCTTTTTGATGGCATTGAGGAGGGTGGCATCAGAGCTTCATCCTCATACTCCTCCCATGAGATTGATGAGCAAGATAATGAAAGAGCTTTGGAAGGGTTGGAGGATAGAGTCAGTCTGCTGAAGAGAGTGAGTTTCCCAGCTAGCAAAGTAGGCTGTCAATCAATTGATAAGGGCATGGTAGTATCGTTAGCTGGCTAGTTTATGCTGCTTTCTGGATGTTGAGACCCGGAAACATTAGTCTTTGTGGTTGCAACGCTTCTTTGAATGTTCCTAAATTCTTGTTTTTCTGGATTTCAGCAATCTGAATGCAAATGATGAGAGTATTGTAGTGTTGTTAGTAGGCTCATTTATGCTGCCATTTCATTGTTGAGACCTAAAAACACGAGAGGGAAAATAAGTGAAAGGTTTGCCTTACCAGCTGTTGTAGCTGCAAAGCTTCTCATAATATTCCTAAACTCTTGTTTTCTCGGGGTTCTCAACAATCCGAATTCAGTAACTAGCCTTTCTTGGAAATCATCCTGTGTCTAAGGAAGAGCAGTTTATGATCTCTAAATTTCATGTTAGCATGCCATACCTATATGATGAGCTTTTTATTCAGTTCAAATTTCAAATTGCTAGCTGTTGAAAGCTTCCCCAGTATCTGGAATTAAAATTAAAGCTGGAAATAGTGTCCTGCTGCTAGAATTCATATAAATTCATATGCACATGAATTACACTTCTTGCTTTTGTAAAATATCTCAACATATGTTAATATAAGTTAATCATGCAGCTGTCAGGAGATATAAACGAAGAGGTGGACAACCATAATCTTATGCTAGACAGAATGGTATGCATGCTGCAGCCATGAGCTTACTTTTCTTGTTTTGTTTTTGCTGGTAAAATAATCTGATATTGTTCGCATTTAGGGCAATGATATGGATTCTTCCAGGGGAGTGCTGTCAGGAACCATGGATCGCTTTAAGATGGTATGTAGATTACTTGATTTCCTTCTTTTGCTTCTCATAGTAATTGCAGATTCAACTCTTTTGTGTTTCTTTCTTATACAATGTTCTCTTGCCAAACACCTTTCATTTAATGGCCGTGTGACTGATGGTTGGTTTGTTTTACTTAGGTATTTGAAACCAAAGCAAGCCGTAGAATGCTTACACTCGTGGCGTCATTTGTGGTCATATTCCTAATAATATACTATCTCACGAGGTAATGCGGCTACGATGGATTTGATACAGCTGCTGGCCTTGTGTTAGAACTGGGAACACCCCATTTTACATGCTCACTGTAACCAATGTCCCTGTATGTGATATACTCTCCCAGGCATGCTTTGTGTAAAGATTGTTCCATCCCGTAAAAGTGTGTTGAAAGCATGGAGTGGGTGTAAAGTCCTCGCACCGCACCCCTTGTTTTTGTTTTCCGTTGCATTATATCAGCCAGTTGCTTAATCTTTTGAGGTAAATATCAGGCCGTAAAGTTCATCCAAAGCCAAGACAAGTCCTCGCACCGGACTTGTCTTGGCTTTGCTAAAGGCAGCTTTTCCACCTGATAGCTACTTTCTGAACTCCCATACTCTGCTGTCGCCCTTCTAGCCTGGGCATTGTTTAGGCCAACCAGAAGCTTTCGTTGAAGCCGGCAAAATCATGAATCATGACTTATTAGCAGCATGAAAAGCAGCTGCACGCCATGGCAGCCGCATCCCTCCAAAGAGCAATTAAAATGTTAGTTGGAATTGTGAGGTGGGTAATTTGGAGCCTGGTCGTTGTCCCACGGCGTTTTTGTGGAAATTCATGACAATGTCATAATCAACAAGATATGAGTGCTGGAGGTAAAAGAAACGAGAAGATTTTGTCTTTTCTTGTGTTATAAAACCAGGTAGACGTATTTCAAGCAATAACTCCCAACTACTCCGCAACGATTACCGCCTAGTTTATAGATATTAAATTGGGACTCCAGTCTTCATCATCATGCATCACCATCATCTTACGTCTTCAGTGGTTGGAAAATGAAAAACGACCCATCATTTATTTAATTCAATGTCATTAAAAATCAGCTCAGGCATGGCTACGGGGGATGAAGTCATAAAAAAAACAAAAAATTAGCTCAGGCATGGCTACGGGGGCTGAAGTCATAAAAAAAACAAAAAATTAGCTCAGGCATGGCTACGGGGGATGAAGTCATAAAAAAAACAAAAAATTAGCTCAGGCATGGCTACGGGGGCTGAAGTCATAAAAAAAACAAAAAATTAGCTCAGGCATGGCTACGGGGGATGAAGTCATAAAAAAGCTCACAGATTAGAAGAATGCACCAGCCGGGAATCGAACCCGGGTCTGTACCGTGGCAGGGTACTATTCTACCACTAGACCACTGGTGCTTTTTGCTAAAATGTCGTGTATATATATATATAATATTAATCTGTTTAGCTCGCAATTCACTAATTTTGGACTGACCCCTTGGGAAAAAATGCAACGATTTTACCTCCATTTCTTGGTGGTAATTTTTGCTTCATTTAGGGGAAACATTCCGGGCATACGTTTACCTTGATAATTTGTTAATCTAAAACTTGATACAAAATAATTTCTTTTTTATTAAAATAATGTTGTTTTGAAGAATTTTTTTAATTGAAAAAACAAAATTTAATTTAACCCATAACTCAGTTATTGGGCCAAATAAACTCTCGAGTTGGCTATTATAAGAGTTGACAGCTAGCTAGCTACCCTTCCATTTTCAAAAACTAAATAAGGAAGTAGACGAGATTGATATAGTCCAAGATGACCAAGTATGCATACTTATAGGTCTAATTCATTAGCCTGCAGTTTGAGAAGCTGAAAGAGTCATATGCACCCACATCGTTTGCATAGCAAGGCATTAATTTCTAATTAAGCACGCAGCTAGTTAAACACCAAGTCTATTGCATATATATATATATATATATATTAGCTTGATTAATTATATATGGATCTGCGTTCTTCGATCCAAATTCAGTTGTTTTTCAGCAATGTAGTTCTTCTGATTTCTTTTGCTTTCCATTTGGCTTTTGTCGCATTGAGTCTCGCCGCTTATATTATTGCCGTTTCCATTTGAGAATATATATATATATATATATATATGTAAAGTCCCAATTGTTCAATTAACAATATGAATAAATAACAAGGTTTAAAGCATGCATTGGCACTCCCAAACTGAATTATATTGCATTCTAAATTAAACTGGGAAAATCACATTTCCTTAATGTACTAAGGTTAAAAGGAGAAAAGAGAATGAATCTGAAATCTTAATAATAATGGAGTGTATTAATTAAAAGATAGTCGATAATCCCTGAAAATTAAGTTGAATGATTATTTATAAAAAACCAAAATGAATATGTTACAGAGAAGTTTAATATAAAAAATAACTGAATTGGTATTTATCCACTTCCAAATAATATCTGCACTGCATTATAAATAAGGTCATTACCAATATATATAGCTTTCTTACGTATTTGATTACCATGCTATATATATAATTTGCAACTTGCCTAAAATTAAGGGATTCTTTTGAGTGGAAGTTTGTGTAGAAATTAATTCAAAGAATCTTTAATCATTTTTTCAAAATCAAATAATACTGAATTCATTTATTTATTATATATCTATATGTCCAATAACTATATATATTTTATAAAGTCATTTTTTTCAACAATTTAATCATAAAACCCTCACGTTAGAGAAAAAGCAACTTTAATTAATAATTGCCAAGACTTCATATATATCTTTTTTTAGCAATTCTTTTCCGGCTGTGGATAAGATGGGTATGTTAATTTGAGACTGATTACTTACTCTAGCAAAAGACAGAAATGATCAGTTCCTATCATGATCATCTTATATCACGCATGCCCCTGGTTTTTTATTTATTTATTATTATTTCTTTGTTTATTTCATTATTTAAATATCACATGAGAGCATAATTCCAAAATTAATTTGGTATAGCTAGGTCCAAACAAAAAAGACACACACATATATATTCTAGACCTTATCTGGGTGTAATTTGGTGACTTCTGTGTTATGCATTTAGATTGAGAATTTGTGATTTAATTGCTCATAAAGGAACTCCATCTTCATCGGGAAGAATGAAACTCACACAACCATGCATTTGTGAAACAAAAACCAATTGCAAACAAAATTTTAGTAGCTACAAAGTTAGAGACGACATTAAGTAATAATTAATATATATGCTAGAGTACATTTTAAGAAAAATAAATTATAGTAAGAGAATTATTGAAAAAAAATATTTTAATTTAATAACTTAAGCTATTAAGTGAAATTCTAAAATATAATTTATATTATTTTTTAACATATCTTTTCAAGTGAAAACTCTTTGGGTTTGAAACTTGCATAAACCCACACTATTTTTTGTTTAATTTTATCAAATAAATAGAAATGATGAGATTCTAACTCGTGAACGCTTGGTCATCAAAAATCTCATGCCATATCAAAGAATCATCTTAACCTAATAGTTTAAACTATTAGGTGAAGTTTCAAGATATAATTTATATTATTCTCTAATATTTACACTACCCTTTCCAACCTTGCTATTACACGTGCGTGCATACACACTATCATATTAGCTTGCGCTCCGCAGTGGGTTAATAACAATTTTTTTAATATAACAAATATGAAGAGTATAAAAAATATATTAAGTGTCTTGGATTTAGCGGCAATTCAATGTTATTGAGTCCTGTTGGGCAGTAAGATCAGACTCTATTGGTTCCTGGTAGCAATAGGATTTAACGCTAAGAGAAAAGAAATTCAACCAATCCAATCTCAAATGAAAAAAAATATTATCATCATCTAATTTTTGTATAATATAAAAAGGTCCCATCAATTTATTTTCTCTTTATTGTATGAAAAAAATTAAATAAAAGAAAGGAAAAAAATTAAAAAGATAAAAAATAAAATTGGATAGCAGTAAGTCTGATTGCTAAGCTAGACTCAGCACTTATTATAAGTGATTTGAGTTTGACTGCCCAACCAGATCCAATGGCTTTTGACATATATATATAAAAAAAACAATGACCCAAAACAACATTTTTTGACTAAAAAATATCAAAGACAACGCCCTATATATAACACTATAATATCATTTATAGTATAAACACTCTATGTCTATAATACAATGAATCTATATCCATAATAAATATACAATATTTTTCCCATGTTTTTTAAAATATAGTATAATATATGTATGTGGTGGTGAGGGGCTCACACTAATTGGCTTATCTTTTTGCTATACTAAAAAATTAGGTGTGTGTGTTAGAAAGCTTTCTATATATTTGAGGAGGTACATTGGGTATTTGTGTTTGTATTGAGTTGCATGTATGATAACTTCCATACAATGATAAATATTACTTTTAACTTAAAAAACATAAATTAATGGCTTATATATATATATATACATGTTTATTTTATGTATAAACACTTTTTGTTTGTTTGTTTTTATAATAAAAGATATTTATCACTTGTATATTACCTAATAATATCTCCGTTTAGCAAAAGTATTTAGCAATTCAAGTGTGATATATAGATGTACATTGGAGTTTAGCTCAACCATGGAGGGAGCAAATAAAGACATGGAAACCTAACTATAATTGCCACTTGTTCTAAGTTGAATCATCGACTTTGTTGTTAGTTTGTTAAAGAGTTTTATGTATTTGAGAAGATGCATGGACTTCTATGTTTTTATTCAACTTATTTATATAAAGATTTATATACAGTGATGAATATCATCTTCAATTTAAAAACATAAATTAATAGATTATATATAAAAACCTTAATTTTTGTATTTTTTTCATCACTAGATATATATTTATCTCATTTCCACATGCATCCAATAAATATATGCAAACTTTATATCTAAATTTCCTTGAATAAATACAATTTTTGCAAATAGAAATTCAAAATTATCACCATATCATCAATGTACTAGATAGAGAAGAACCAACTTCAAGCGGATCATAACCACTAAAATGTATACACATTGTTCAATCTGATAACAACCATGACAAAGATGTTCAAAGTAGTAAGTATACTCCTAATAAGATCAGAATTTTTAATAATAATTTTAAAAAAGTTTACACAAACCAACAAGGGGATGGAAACACAACAAATTAACAAAGAAAAAAAAATAGTTGGAACATAGCAAGACAATATTTACCAATCCAGAGAGCAAAAGAGTACTTGGAATTAAATCATATGATGACCAGATCAGAGCTTCAGGAGAACTGGCTCATACTCATAGTGAGATTCCGTAAGGTTGATGCATGATTAAGCACTGTGAACTATAGATAGACGGTGGAACAGTACTGGGATCTTAGGGCAATTACTTGTCCTAGCAATCATTTTAGATAAGAAAATAACAACTCAAGAAACTAGCTAGTTCATGCATAAGTATGCTTCCAACTTTGCCCCATCGATCTCTCTAAGTGAAATGATTCCACACACGTACACACGCATGAATCTAAACATATATGAACAATAAATAGCTTATTCAATTATACAGGCAGTATCTAGTCCTTGAAAGGGAAGAAGCATATAAGAATGCTAAAAGGATATACAACACTGAATTTGGTGGGTCACACACACACACACACACATACAGGCATTCCTTCTACTTTAAAGAAGTAATTAGGGTTTCTAGCAAATTTAACTTGGTATATATATATGTTCACTCTCAATAATTAGCATGAACACTGACATCTAGCTAGTTAATGGAAATTCGTTGTAGGATGATAAGGAATCATATGAAATAATGCAAAACTTTATTAAGTACTGTTTAAATAAGTAGAATTACATCATAATTTGACAGCACATGTAAAGAAAAGAAAACTTACAGAACCCTAAATGAATCTAGGGTTATTAGACACTGAATGAAGGCTACAACAAAACTACCTTCAACATCAGTAGCCTGCAATTGATGATCATAGAGTGAAATAGTAATCCCCCCCTCCTTCCTTTTGAGGGGCCAAGAGAAGAAAATCTTTAATCATTCCTTCTCCCTAGCTCTACCATGCATGTCTTCTCGGCACATCAATTGCCACAAACATGTATTCCAAAATATAGTACTTAATTACTTAAGCAAACTAATTAAACACCATAAAATTCTTGTACTCACTCGATGAAAATATCGGAGAATCCACAGCTGCACAATAAATTAAATACAGCTATATAATTAAGTAATTAAGTTTCAAATACCTAATTAGAATATTATGGATCGTGACCAAGTCTAAGCTCCAAATCCAATTCATCATCTGCTCCAATGCCGTCTTCTATTTTTTCTTTGGTATTATCATCCACATGGGATGGACCAATTTGCAGGCTTAGACTCCTTCTCCAATCGTCTCCGAGTGGATACAAATGATGTGGACTTTGCACATAGAAATCACCATTGTGTTGCTGTGCATATGGGGATCCTATACCCCATGTTGTCGATGCCGGAAAAAACGTTTGGTAATTTATATGTACCTCATGAGGCGTAGGGTAGTGAGGTGGGTAGCTTTGAATTGGGGGATAGCCTTGAAAACTTGCATAATCCTCATCAACTTTGCTTGAAAGTGAAGGAACTGAGCTAGGCCTTGACTTGGCCCTATCTTTCCTATGAATATTCATATGTCCTCCCAAAGCCTGTGCTGTAGTGAATCCTCTCTTGCAAAAAACACACTCATAGGACCGGCCGGCGCCCGTATCTTGATCGGATCGGTCGGTAATTTCCTCTTCGTCACTTGAGCTCTTCGACTCTTCATCATGTTGGTTTGATTCCATGATAAAACTTGCAAGATTCTCACTTGAAATAGTGGGATAATTAATGCTTAGTGAGCAAGGAAGACTGAGTGGAGATGTTGGTATATTATAGAGATGTAAAGGTTTAGGAGGTGAGAGACAAGAGACAGACAAAGGACATAGACATTACCTAAGTGACGAGCTCTAGAGAGAAGGTATTTTGAGAGAGAAAAGTCTTAGATTATTGCTAGGAGAGGGTTTCTGTTAGCCGGCTGTAGTTAACTAGTGGATCCATCTTTTACAGGCAGTCATTTTTTTAAGGATAATTCTTCCTCGTTTGTCTCCTTATGACACCTCCTGTAGCTTTTGTCTATGTTGGCTTTCTTAACGCGGTCTTGTCTTAATTTTGTTATTTCTTTCTCTCTAATTCAGTTTTATATATGGAAATATAGCATCCCATAGCATATTATACATATATTTTTCTAACACTTCGGCTAACATATTCACATTAGGGCATAGATTTGTTCTCGGGGACTGCCGAGTCAAAGGCAATTTGTCACACACACACACACACATAAAATTAACATGTTATCGAATAAATTAGGAAATTAAGCTTGATTTTTTTGGTAATTTTTACTTTTTTATGAATGAAATCAACATTTTATTGAATAAAAAAATTTAAAGAAAACATTTTAAACATTTCTTTTGATTTTTTATGGTCGACAACTGTATCTTTTGAGAACACAAAGTCCATGTGAAAGGTTAAAAGTCCATGATCAAGGTTACATTACCAAATATTAAGTTCTCTTGGATAGTCACCTCAAGTATCTATTGCATCATACACTTCTTGCCAACAAATCAGCTAGCTGCAATTCACAATTAACGGGCCTGCCAAATTAATTAATTAATTAATTAGGTCAAGTCGACAAAATAATGAATTGCTAATTAATTAGCTCTATCGAGCGAAATTGAAGGAGCTTTCTGATGCTCACTTGTTTCCATATATATATATATATATATATATATAAATATATCAAATGGTTTGACTAAAAGGGGCAAACCGTTACTTATATTTGCTAATTAATTTCAACAATCTTATTGTTTTTAGTGTTTATTCCATGGTGGTCAACCGTTACTTGTATATATTACCTGGTCTGATCAAGATACTTGCCGAAGCGCGAGTATGACACAAAAAGTTTAGCCAAAAACAAGAATGGCACAAAATGCATAGTCTTTTGCATATAATCGTCCAGTCTATGTTATAATTGAGGTTGCATTTCACATATCACAAGGGAAAGATGTCGGAAACTTCCTAATGAATATATGATGACCTAGGAACAGTGTGTTCTTGTAGTTTACACTTTGTCTTCAAGTATAGGCCATAACTAATGGAAAACACATCACCTTTATGTCACCACACAGTCAACATCGCATAAATATCATCACAGGTGATTCAAAATTATATATTTTTCATAGAATTGAAGGTTTGGTGATCTTAGCCTGCTTAATTTGGTAGGTTAGAGAGCGTTTAGCAATTTTGAGAAGCTAATTCGGTAATAAAAAAATAATCTTGGCTTTCCTAAATTAGCACATCCATCAATGAATGTTTGAAAGAGCTTATTTCTAGTTCATCATAATAGATTGTTTATGGACCAACCAATGAGTTTACAATTATAAATTATTAAGTTTATCCAAACCATCAATTTAATAAATTATATTTAGAATATGAATACCTTTATATTTAATGACATGATATCATAATTATAAAATGAAATAATTAATAACATATCAATTACAAAAATAATATGGGAATAATTATTAGCATTGAAAAAAACTATTAATTAATTTGATCTATACTTTAAGCCAAGCTCTCCTAGTAATCCCTCAAAATTCAATTTTATTCGAAGTTGGTAATATACGCACATTTATATATGTGCAGGCCGATTTGTTTTTTGGAGTATAGGTAAATATAGTGTGCTTGGAAAATGGCAGCACTGAGATTGGTGGGACGTCAGATCATTAAATAAAACTGCATCTTACATCAGTCTCGATGTATAAAAATATTTATTCACAAGTGGCAGCCAGGGAATTATATTTTATACTTAATTTTTTTTTCTACATCAACTTAATTTATGCAGTAATGTTTCGTAAATACACACACATAAGGAAAAAACGTTAATATACATGATTTAATTAATGTTAGAGAATAATAATAAATTATTTTTCTTTAATTAATTGAAATGATTATAATAATGAATTATTTTTATTTAATTAATTGAAATGATTCTTTAACAATTAAACGTACCCTTTTGGTTACTAGTGAAGACCATGTTATGCACCTATGTATTAGGAAGATTTATTTAAATATAATGGAAGATTTAATTTTCCTTTTTTCCTGATGCGGGCGACAAAAAGGCAAGTAGTGGTTCGAAAGACCAGAAACAGACATAGCACTCGAATCATTCGAGCATCACCGGATATCGAAATTCTTTAAAGGCTATGAGATTGGTACGAGAAATGGGAGTGTAATTTAGGGCATTGAACTAGAACTAGACTGAGTCAATGGTCTATGCCAAGAAAAATGCAAGAGGAAGAGTTTGGGGAGTAGAGGCGTGGACTGTATCATGGACGACAACTACGTGAGTGCTGCCGCGACCTTCATTTCTCTACCAAATCAGCCTTCTTTTGCTTCTATTGATTGCCAGATGTAAACATGAGAATAAAAACTTTGGAACTTTATAAATGTTCCTGGTGAGGGCCAGTGATGGCAGAGAATTCTAGTGTTTTTCCTGCTGTAGTTCTTCATAAACGCCTTCAGAGAGGCAACCTTTACCCCCTCCTCTGCTGGTTTCGATCGAGAAGAGACTTGAGCACATAAAATTTGACCTTTTCACTTGAAAATTACAGGAATTCGGTGGGAATCTAATGATGGATGGAGGGGCTATTATTTCAAAACATATTATTCCTCTAATCAATGATGATAGCAAGGTCGACAACCAAAGCTGGATCCTCAACTAGCCGGAATCGATATCGTTCTATGTTCAATCATAAACAAATGCCAATTTGACATGGATAGATTTTAAATTTTCAACTCTAATATATATTTTCTTCTACATTCCCTCTTGTTTAGTGACACCAGGGGCGTCTGCATGTGATATTGGTTTTTGACAAAGACATCTCTGTGACTTTAATTTAGACGATTGAGTCTTCATAGTTCGGTCTGATAGGTATCACAAATCCTTCCATCTATAGTCAATCAAATTTTTTGATTTATTTTATCTCTTAAATGCGGAGTAAAACGTGTTAAATTCTTATACATTGGTTCTACATAATTACCAGAAAGAATAATTAATTTTTTTAAATATTTTTATTAACACTAGAAAAAATTTCTATTCTATTTTAAAATGTCAAAAACTAATAAAAACTGATTAATTTCTTTCTATCACAAACTAATTAGAAAATATTATAGTGATTATGTGAGTTTTATAAATAAAAAAATGGTCTAATTAATAATATCCAATGAAAGAAAAAATATGAAACATATTTGATAGAGTAGAAATATATATATTTTTTGTATGCATGATTTTCAAATTAATCTTTCAGGAAAAATCTGATGAATACATATAAAAAATCATAAAAAAAATATAAACAAATCCAACAGAAATAAATAAAAAAGTTAACTATCATTTTTTGGATTCTCAAAACTAGAAAAACTCAATGTAAATGAAAAATCTTGAAAGAAAATAATCCAAATGCATATATAAAAAAAAGATAATAGTTTTTTTAATTATTTCTTAAAAAATTAGAACCAACCCTCAAAGTAAATAAAATAAAATAAAATGGAGGAAGGGGTCTTTCTAACGTATCAAACCACATGAATTATCTAAATTAAAATCACATTGACTTTTTTTTCCTATAAAAAATAAATATCACGTAAATCTATAGTGTTATTCAACCTTTGGACGTACTCACACAAAAAGAATTATAATTACAAAAAAGGAAATCAAGAGCATTAATGAACTGAAATTGCTGGAAACACAGGCTTGGTCGGTCAATCTATGTACTGACCATCAGGTCAAGCACGTAGATGCAAATCCCATATCATTCAAACGGTCATTTTGATTGAAGATTAATCAATTTGAACGGGCTTGGTCATTGATCACATTTTCTGGTCAACTTCTTGGATTGTAAAATGAAGTTTTATTATTCAAAAATAGATAAGTTATCTGGAATTTGGATTATAAAATAAAGTTCAATCGATTGTTTTCTTTTTCCTTTTTCTTGAATATTAAAAGAAGCCGTCCTCGTCCCTAGACTATACACAACATATTATTTTTATTTTTCATTTATTTTTTACTGTTAAATTTGATATTTGGGTCAGTTTTATTAGATTTTACAAGATTAAATTATTTGTCACGACGAGACTATCTTATTTCTCGTGATCTAATTAATTTGATGTTTTACAGTGGTAATTAAAGAACAGAGCACATTATTATTAAAAAAAAATATCAAATTCATTGTACCAATAGACTTGTTGATGGAAGTAATCAAAACGACATTAATTTTCTTTTCTTGGCTCGTAAAAAGAAAATGCGAGAGCCAGTGAGGGAAGCTGCCTCAAGAAAATTCTGAAGAAATATATAAAACGGAGCTGGGGAGACGAGTCCCGAGACCCAGTGTGAGCTCGTGGAGTGAAGCTAGGGCCGAGCAGGCCCACAGCACGGGGACAAGATATGCCGAGACATAAATTGCATGACATAAATTTTGTTTTTGCTGGTGAAATTGTATTTAGATGTATTTTAAAAATATATTTAATTAAAAAATATAAATTTGATGTTTCTATGTGTTAATATTAAAAATAAAAAAATATTATTTTAATATATTTCCAAGCAAAAATTTATTTTAAAAAACATTTCATATTATTTGAATATTTTTTCCTCGCTCACAGCCACATTAATTATGCAATTCTAGGTAAAAACATCACGTTTATATCATAAATCCAAGCATTGAACAGACTTGTTTATATATCATACTTTGTCGTGCATGCATGGCTTGATTAATTATATTCGAAATCTGTCGATTAATTACTACTGGATGTGTACTTCATGTTCAATACCCTAACCCTCTTGTTTTGCAAGAGCACCACATGATTATAAGCAACCATGCTAAGCTTAATTACAGGGGATATTAATTTTAAGCTCTTGAAAAAGGCTGCCGATATTTAAAAATGCTACTATATAAAATAAACTCTCTTTTTTTTTTTGTATAAATATATACAAATAATATGCTTAAAACTTGATTAAAAAATATTTAATTTGATACACGGAAACCAATCCAAGAAACCCTTGAAAGGGGCCTTGGCCGTGGCCCCGAAAAGTCTCTTGCCTTTTGTTTTTTGTTTTTTTTGTTAATTAACTCAATTAGCATTAAGCATTAATTAGTGTCCCATGTTATGATAGATGAAGAGCAGGTTGAATAAAAAGACTTGTGGTGGGTGAAAAGGGGGAGAGAGCATGGATGCGTGAGGATGAATCATAGCTTCCTCTCCATCCCATTAATTCTCTCCTCTCTTTCACTAAAATATGCACTTTGGCAGGTTCTGTTCGACACCACCATGTCCATTTTTTCTCGCCCTTTTTTTTTTAACTTCCCTGTAATCTGCCTGACACTTCAAAGCTCATACCTTTTCGTCCTTTGAATTTAATGATCGCTCCTTCCCTCTCACCACTTTATTATTTACAAGGAGATTGATGGAATTAAGTCATTTTCTTTAGCTATGCACAGGGAACTCTGTGTGTCTTGTTAAGGAAATGTCATCATGTTCCCAGCGAAGACAATGGTGGGAACGTGCGAAGGGTCAGGTATTGGGAAACACAATATTTCTGAAGAGACACTACCTCAATATAAAATCTTGAATCATTGTACCAAAGCAATGGTCCCAAGTGCTACAGCATAGGAATTCTTAACTATAACCCGTTTTATTTATTTTTTAAAAGTTTTTTAAATAAATTTTTTTTTCCAAGACTTAGAGTTTTAGTTTGAAGATGTTACTGTATATCATAGTTTAAAAAACAAGCCATCCAGGTCTACGAGTTTTCATGGCGATTCGTCAGGCCACATCTGGTTTCACAAGCACCATGCAATAGATATTGCTAACAAATTAAAATTATTTTTGTAAAAGGTTGTTGCGTGGAAAATTCAAAGCATTCATTATTACTTGTTTAGAGGTTTAAAGTGTAGTATAGGTTATGTTTTGACGGGTTTTTAATTTGTAAACGTTTTAAAAAAATATATATATTTTTTAAATTTAATTTTTGATATTAAGGTATAAAAAATATATAAAAAAATTAATTAAAAAAATAATAAAACAACAATTCAACTGCAAGGCACGTAGCAGGAAGATGAGAGAAAAAATGAGCTCTTACGGGGGAAAATAGCTTGCGTTAATTAGCTAGAGAAATGCTCAGCTAAAATATTCCTCTTCATCTTCCTTGATTACGAATTATATATAAACAACGAAAGATGTATCTCAACAACTTCATCTTCGACTATGTTACAGCTAACCTAATTAACAAGGACAACGCCTCCCCAAACTAATCATGAGTTTAGAATTAAAAACATACTTAGCTGAATATTAAAGCCATACATAAACAGCATTGCGCTTTAGTAATGTATGGTAGATTACGAAGAAGGCAAAGATCATGCATGGCAGATGCAAACAAGCTGAGGCTGCTTAGAGATAGAACCAAAGATCCAGCTACTGGTGTGGACACAGAGTGGATATTAATCGACAGTACTCATGTTTTTTTTTTACTAAAAACAGCCAAGTCGAAGCTCCAAATCCAAAACCTCCTTCGGATCTTCACATCTCATTCCCAAGTCCAAGCTAATAATCCCACTTGTCCTCGAAACTTTAAGCTGATCACCATCTTGTACGAAATTCTTCTTCAATTCTCCAACCCCAACCACAGCTCTCATATCGCTTATCTTCCTTGTTGAATTTATACTCTGAGGACATTCAGCTATGGATTTCTTTTCTGGGTAAGAAGGTGAAGAGAAAGAAGCGAGGAGTGGAGAGAGCAAGGAGTGATCATGAGTGTGATCAGGATACGGAGAGAACTTGGATGAGGGATAAGGTAAAGGTTTAGGGTTAGACATGGAATGAGGTTTTGGACAATCACAAAACCAAGAAGGCAGCTGTTTTAGCCTGGCTCTATCTCTCCTGTGAACATTCATATGTCCCCCGAGTGCTTGAGCAGAGCTGAATTCTCTCTTGCAAAAGCTGCATGTGTAATTTCTTTTCGGCCATGAAATACCACTTGTATGTTCTCCTTCGAAGATCACGTTGTTCCACTCCCATTTGTCTTCAACAGTGGTACTTTTCTGTATATAGTTCCTGTCCATTGCTATACACACACACTTCGTTCAATCCAACGTAAGAAGATCAAATTAACAACAAGATCAGTTAGTTTAAATGCAGGCTGAAAAGGGGAGAGAAAGCTCAATGAAGTGAGAAATGCTGTTGCTTCATGAACTCTCGGGCTAGTTATGAGCCAGAAACTGAAAATCCCATCAATGCAAGTGTACTCACCTGCAAATGTCTGCTGCTATATTTGGATATTACTTCAGCAAATTATGTACATTGAAAACTAAGCGCGCCAGTGTTGTTCTTTTTGCTAAATCCAGGGGAGATCTAGTGGATGGTTCCTACAACATTAATAAATGGTGGTTTGTGAAGTACCCCTAACTTTTCAAGACAAAGGGAACTAGATGCGCGACTATATTTACGTGTTAGGTTTAATGACACTATATATATAGGTTCAGGTGATGATTTGAACAATTGAGTCTGAAGGATTTGGTATGTGACTATGTGAGGAAGTGTGAGTCCATCCATCTATAGTAATTTTTTTTTTTTTGCTAAATTTGACTTTTAAAGGGACTGTTCAAGATTTTATTGGTTCAAATTTTAGAAAAAAATGATTAAAGATTTGGACAAATTTTTATTCATTTACTAATTGGAAGAATTTTTTTCATTAATTTTATAATTACGCCAGCAATTTTTTTTTTTAACTTTATTTTAGTCCAAAAAATAAAATAAAACTTGAACAAATGTTGACTATTTTATTTTTTAACTAATTTTTATTCTTGTATAAATCCAAGGAAAAATCTTATGAGAGAAATAAATCTTATATATGTAAGAAATATAAAAACATGAAGATGAAAACTCAAAAATCATATCAATGAAAAATTAAATTTTTACAACCATTAAATGTGTTACGAAAATACATTTATCATCTTGTCTTTCATTAGATATTATTAGATAATTTTTATTTACAAAACCCAAATGATCGCTATGTAATTAGATGTTTAATTTGTGATAGCAAATTAAAATAATTAACTAAATTAACTAAAAAATCAATTTTTTTAATCTGTTTTTGACTTCTCAAAATAAAAAAAGAGGAAACATCAAATAATAATAATAATAATAAATGTTTAGACTGTAGAATAACCTTATATTTAAGAGGGAGAAAAATTAAAGTAATTAAACCTGAAGGAACAGGTTGGAAACTAGACATAAATTATAACGACAAGATGAGCTAATTCTCCCCTCGAAGATGCTCCAAAACCTCTAAGTTGAAAAAATTATAAACAGCCCGTCTTATGAGTATTAATACACCCAGAAAATGTTGAATTTATGTTGCAACTTCAACAACAGAGATCATACATTAAGTAGCAAAGAGCCTAAGACATTCCGAGACTAAACAGAAGTGCCAGTTGATGATATAAACGACAGGGGGTATGAAATATAATTTAGAGTGAGGAAAAATTTGAAATCCTTCTTGTTTATAACAATCTCAATACCAAAGGTGGTTTCCCTAAAGGAAATCGGCATCCGAGCTGCTACTTCGGTGCTCCGCCGCATGTGCAAATTAATGAGAAAATCCTTGTTCTCATGCTGCTTCTCTTAAAATGAACTTGTCGAGTTTGATGAAGCAGCGCAGATTCCCTCGCACTTTTACATAGTTGAACAGTAAGTAAGAAGCAATCCAAAGTGAAAGGCTAAGCAAACTCATGCAGCAAGTTGAGAGACCTGTGTTTTTCACTTTCAGCCCTTGTTAGGAGAAAAGGTAAACTCATCCTGGGTGTTAGTAGTACCAACAATGAATTTACAATTCGATATAAGTAACCTTTTGACCGTTTAACCTTGGTAATTACTGTAGAAATATTGAGAGAAACACTAGCTATGTATATGGCGTTGTGTGTAGAAGTTCAAGCGGAGGAGCCCACTCTATATGGCGAATGTGGTTAATATCTAAGCCAACAGGGATTTGTAGGAGCTACTCTGCCATGCCAACAAGTACAGATTGAATAGCTAAAAAGGAAGGAAAACAAAAATAAATTCCATCAGAAGAAGTCATCAAATGCACCCTCTTTATCACCGTTATCAGAACCTGCACGGTGAATCATCAATAGTAAGAAACGTCAGTCTTCATTACTGAAGCAAGGGGAAAATAATATTGTAACAAATTGCTGAATCATGTGTTGTTTTGTGGAAGAAAGAATTTAATGAAATGAGCTTTCATTTTAATGAAAATCTGCAGGTACAATTTCAATCAGGAAGGCAAGCTGACCTGAAATTTCCGTTGTTGAAAGATCCTGAACTATCAGCTGGAAAGCATTAGGATCAGGGGAAGAGAAGTCAACTGAGGTAAGGGCAGGAACCGGTAAAGTGAAATCAGACTCACTGGATGAGGCAGAGTTATTGGGAGCAACATCAGCCTGAACATCAATTTTAACAGGTAGGGAAGTTGAATTCAAGTTCGATGAAGCATATAAGATCATTTTCAGCTCTGCAAATTGATCGGACATGGAATATAACATCCTGAGACACGCTAAAACAGGTCAAGTATTATTCACACTAAGGATTAGTTTATAAATTGTCATGAACAAAGCAGATGTGACAGTGCAGAGATCCAACAAAGTGTGAAGAGTGGTTCAAACTGTCATATAGACATATCGCACCTTATTTCATACATCACTTGTCAAGGATGCAGTCTGTTGGACTCTATAATTGACATACAACATAAATCTGAAAAGATAAATCTTAAGGCAAAGTTATTCTTTTCAGTTTATCACACTTTCCTTACTTGTTCAGTGAGGCCTGAAGTCGATAGACTCTTTGTTCAGTTTCTTCTAGTTTTTTGCGTCTTTTTTCACTTAATTTGCAGACTTCTGCATATGTCCTTTCAAAATTATCAGCTCTTTGTTTTTCTGACAACAACAAGGCCTGTCCAACATAAAAGAAGGGCCTACCTTTATTAGAATCCAACTATAGGATTTAGAAACCAAAAACCACATTTCTCTTAAACAATATAAATTACAAATTCTAGCTTGAAAAGTATGCAAGCAAGGACAAAGAGATCTTGACTACTAGCAAAATCTGCTCATAGTAAGATGCTTTCACCATTTTAAATATTCTGACAAACGTACTCATACATTGAACTGTTAATATTTATATACGTTTTCTCAATTGGCAATGACATAAACTGTTTTCTCACTTTGATTTCTTTTCTATACCAGGTAAAAAGACAGTAACTAGCAAAAACAAAAATGCTGCCTTTAACCAGCAACACCCTGAAAGGATAAGGATAGGGGGGAATTCAAGAATAGAAGTTCCCAATGAAATACTGGCATTCTGTTAACCTTATTTTCATGAATGTCAAAGTTGCTACAAATTGAATAAAGCAAATAAAAATTTAAGCAATTCTACAATTAGACAAAAAATAATTTCAAATAGAGAAATGCCCCATACTCTTTTAACATTGATTACATTTTCAACTTAAAAACCGACTTTCTCAGTTCTTTCCACCTGAATATTTTCTATAAGTCATTTTCTTTCCCACAAGTTATTACAGTGGAAGCATCTTGCTAGTTGTGTGATTAACCTTGTTCCTGATTAGGGGGGAACTTCTGAAATAGATGGCTTTGTGTTGTGTTAATCACCTTCTATTTGGCCCTACTATTAATTGTTAAAACTGATCATACCCTTGAACTGAGTGAAATTGAAAATTGGCAAATAACAGAGCTCTGAAGTAGATATCACCTTCAATTTTTTCACTTCAGCATTGAGGTTCTCAACCTTCTTAGAATCTGAGATTGGAGTTGAGGATTGTATTACAGCAGGATGAACTGCAATTGTTCTCAGCACAGCATAATGTTCCACTGGAGGCAATGCATTTGTTTCGTCAACTTTGTTTTGGGAAGTTTGTAGAGAAAAGCACGACACATCTATTTCTTGTGCTTTTGCATCCTCCAAGTCCATCTGAATATATAAATTTGAACATCAGAAAGATTGTCACTCATAAAATCGCAAAAATACAGAATGCACATTCCTAAAACTCATGAGGGCTACAACCATTCTTGTCAAAGAACCATCTCACCTAAAAGCTTAAGCTGTTAGGTGAGGTCCTAGAATATGATTTATATTATTCTCTAACACACCCCCTCAAGTGAAAGCTCTTTGGGCTTGAAACTTGCACAGGCCCACATTACCTTGTACTTAATTTTTATCAAATAAATAGGGATGGTGAGATTCGAACTCGTAATCGTTTGATCATCAAGGCTCTAATACCATATCAAGGAACCATCTCACCTAAAAGCTTAAGCTGTTAGGTAAGGCCCTAGGATATGATTTATATTATTCTCTAACAATTCTCAACTGATGTTAGTAAGAAAAGATCATCAACAACATGATTTCAACTAAGGCCAGTAATTGTATGAAGCAATGACCAATATTTCAGTCAATACAGCCCCCACAGAAAAGCTCAAAACCAAAGGATACAAATCTTTTCCAAACAAAAAAACATGTTGCTTTATATGGCATTCATATCTTATCTTACCTTTGGATGTTTTTCTGATGGAAAACAGCATCTGAGTTCCTCCACTTGTCTTTCAAATTTATAACTTTCTTCTTCATCTGAACCTGTTTCTCTTATTGCCTAAGGAAAACAGAAAATGCACAATAGCACACACAACTCAGGAAAGAAAACAGAGACGCTGTATTCACAGAAAGGTATCGATCTTTGATACAATTACTTTGATTATCTGTTATACATAATGTATTTTGCAAGCCTCTCAATTCCCAAGGGGTTACGTTTATTCTTACTTTATATGTGTGTTCAATAAAAACTTCAAAAATGAGACGTTAACTTCCCACCTTTAGATATAAATTTATCCAGCCTGTCAACCACTTCTCAATTCTCAAATTAAAGTCTATTATTGCTGATGTTCCACGGGAAATCCTTAATGAGACTGAAATATGACATGCGAAGGGAACCCGACAGGCAACATAAGATCATCTTAACTGGGAACCCACCTAGAACCTCACCCATGATTCATCGTCTCATCCAACAGATCATCTACTGTTGAATATGCACGACTTCCAAACAAAAGAGAGGAATGTGCTGGACGTTAAAGCATGCAAGGAAAGGTTCCAACAGCTGGTTTTGTAAGTTCTCTGCAGTTTTAGAGAAGTTTGGGAGCTTTTAACATGGAAGCTTCAAGAAGTGGAAGTTACTTGGAAGCCCGTGATCCAGACTAGGAATAGCTTCTGATTTGAGCCAATCTAGGGGTACTAGGTGCTCCTATACCATAATCAAAGATTTAGTACTCATAGAACCTCTATAAGTACTTAAAGGAAATAAATATTTAAGTGAGTGATTACAAGGGATAGTTTCTAACGGGTACATCAACAGTCAAGAAAACATGACAATGGATACCTACCATCTTTACATTTGAATGCTCCTTCCCAGCAGTTCTCCTCCTCCATCTGCACTGAAAGATAGCTGACGCTTTTTTTAGTTCCTTATAGTAAGACACAGCTCTATAGCAACGCCAGTAAGCCTGAAAATATCTTAAAACAACTATCATTCTGGCAGAACATCACAAACAGCCAGGTGTACAAACTTTCAAGGAGCAAATAAACAGATGTGTAATAACCTGAATGATAGTTGCGGCCTCTGAATTCTTGACCATTCTTCCCCTCCATCTGCTTTGTGAAATAACTGATGCTTTCTTCAGCTTCTTATAGTATGACACAGCTCTATGACAGCGCCAACAAGTCTGCAAATACTCAAGTAATGATCTTTCTGGTAGAATATGGCTAACAACTAGATCTGCAATTGCACTTGTCAAGGAACATCAAATCAGCTAGGTAAATAACCTGAATAATAGTTGCTGCCTTGGTTTGCTCTCTAAATCTGAAATCCTTACGTGCAGCCATTGCCCGAAAACCTGTTTGCACCACAAGTGCAGATATTCTAATATCGGTATATGCCCTTCTGGCCAATTGTCTACGCAAATTCTTTTGAATTTTGACTGCTGCCACCTCCTTTCGCTTGTACTTACATAATTCACGAGCAAGTCTTCCTACAAGATTAGTATGAAATTAGAAATAAGAACTATTGATACTAGCTGATCAAATCTCCAGATTGAAAAAAATGCACTGTTCAGGAAATAAGAGTCAAGCAGTGACCAAGTAACCACAAAAAACTTCCACCTAAATTCTATAAAGAACAACAGCTAAGAAATTCAGATACATGTCAACATCCAAAAAACAGATTACATGGTTGCTAAATGACTCACCTCTCCAATGAGATTGTATATGAATAGAGGACTTTCGTAATACAATGTAATCTTTACGAGTAGTGCAAGTTCTAATGTGCCTTTGGATAACTGTAGCTGAGTTGCGAAGTAATCTTGCTTTTCTTGCATCTAGCTCAGCCATCTGTTCAGCTCTTAGAAACAACTTTGTTTTCCCCATCTGCAAAAGCATTTATCCTCCCTAAACTAATTAGTGATTTCTAGCATTGAAAGAATCAAAATGACAAGAGCAGTCGCAGCAATGCATATTTTTTAGCTTAACCATGCATCAGCAGCAAATAAAACTCTCATTTTTTTTTAAACGATGTCACAGTTCTCATTTATAGCATGATAGATGTGGGTGAGTACTGATATACATATCTGAAGCACTAGCATCAAAAGTTATAATTGTAACTTCCTAGGTTGAAGATAATGAGAAGTTGTATAACATGTGAAAGTGGTTATAGCATTACCAGATATCCTTTGAGCTCCATCTTTTCCAGAATCCATTTGCATGCCACCTTTTCTTCATAACTGTTACAAAACAAAATGATCTCAGGACATGAACCCAGAAAATTCTGCAAAAATTTTAAGTTCACCAAGAAGAAAACACGAGAATTATTTTTATTCAATTTGGAACATAAAGAAATACTTACTTCCCTTTAAAAATCTCTGGAGCAAGAATACCAAATCGAATTAGGAATTCAGAGAAGGTTCTATGAGCAGGGTAACCAGCACATTTGATTCTGATTACCTCTAGAACTCCCTACATGAATTACAATTTCCTTGAAACACATACAAGTAACTAGTATTAGACGACTTCAAACAAAATTCCAAATTTTACTTACACCAGAACGTAACTGTTGAATGACATTGATATTGTCAAATGTGGCAGGTTTTAATAAATTATTTGGTTTCACACATCTAATGTAGTGGGGCTCTGTGGAATTTAGTATATCCATCAATTGTTGTAGTTGGATCTGCATCAAATTAGGTCAAAACATCAGTATCATGATTCTAGGTGCTATGATCACTCGTGAAATATAAAATTATCTAGTAAATAAATAAAGCTTTAGGCCCCGTTTGTTTGTTAGAAAGTAATTTCTTTTTGGAAAGTGAATTTCGGGAAAATGAATTATTTTCTGATGTTTGGTAGTGCCATGAAAAATAAGTTGAAAAATATTTTTCAGTATTTGATTATGTCATGAAAAATGAGCTAGAAAATAACTTATTAGTGTTTTTTTTTTCAAGTTAATTAAAATAATGAGGAACAAATCTTACAAATTAAAAAGTTGAATGAGAATGAAATTGAAAAAAAACATAATTTCATAAATTATCTCAAATAAAATAAATAATAATCAAAACAATAAAGATCAAATATAATAAATAAAAAAATTAAAAGATGATAAAATTAAAATAATAATAATAATAATTTCATAAATTATTTCAAATAAAATAAGTAACAATCAAAATAATGAGGACCAAATTTGATAGATAAAAAATTTCAATTAAAAAATGATAAAAAAAGAAGCAAATAACAATCATAAAAATAAAAATCAAAGTTAATATAAAAATCAAATTCTAAAGGATGAAATTAAAAAAAATATTAAAAAAAATACATATAGCAATCAAAAGTTTTAAGACCAAATTTGATATAATTAATAAATAATATGATATTTTTAAATTTTTCACAACTTTTGGAAAGTGTTTTCAGTCCAAAATAAAAAGAAAACACTTTCCTGAAAATCAAACTAAATTTTTCTTTGACTAAAAAGTGTTTTCCGTTGACCAACTTTTCTAATAACAAACAAACACAAGAACACTTTTTGTCAAACAAACGAGTGGTAAAGTTTCCACCATGGTTCCAAAAGAGAAGATAGCAAAGAAGACCTTAAAACGGGAACAAATGGATGAGAACTTGGATGGTTTGGCTGACTCCTCTGAAAGTGGAGGAAAGAGGCCAGATATAAAAGAGCATTTAGAAGCACTCAACAAATCTTGATGTTCAGCAACCACGTAGTATTTGTTTTTGTCTAAAAATTGACCAGACTGATATTGAACCTGAAAAATAAATGCATGAAACGATAATGGCTTATTCAAATTGCTAGCCAGGTAATTGTAGAGTATAATGCAGGAATAACAGCTCACCTCTCCAGCATAATGAACAATGGTAAAATCTGAGCGAGTCAATTTTGGCTTGATGAACCGCTTATGATCTTTGAATATTTGGTAGAGTTTTTGTGCAAATGTCTCGTGAGTTGATTTTGGAAACATGCTGCAAGACAAAAATGCTCACCACTTAAGCAATTCAGTAACAAAAATTAGAGGACCCTGCAAAGAAAGAACCTTTAGTGGGATAACATCACAACGAAAATTGCACAGAAAAAACAAATTTCTATGATTAATTCTGCAGGCTTAGGACAAAAAATATATAAACATACCATGCTTCGTCAAGCAGAGCAATTATCCCACCCGGTTTCTGCAAAAGAACTAATTAGAGATCTTATGCATCAAATTTCAGTCACCAGATCATCTACTAAAAGTTAAATTGCTGACAGAGAAATTCATCCACAGAATTAACAAGGATGATAAAGAAAATGCGCCAGATTTATGTTTTCTTGAATGAATACCATTCCCTTCATCTTTTTTTCTTTATGATTTATAACCTGACCTCTGAAGCTAAAATATACAGAGGGTGAAAACAATAAAGAGTCCTAGGATACATTCACAGACAACAGTCTTAGAATTTCCACATGGAAACAACATGGTACATTGCCCAACCAAAATGTTGCCACATCCTAGGACCTAAATATTGTTCAAATGCACTTCTCTGTAGGGCAAACCCCTATTAACAAAATCAAGTTCCACTTAATGACTTCTACTTCTGTTAAAAGGGATATCAGGCATGTAGCAATCATGTAAGCCCGACCTCCCTTACCGCTAGACTCTGGTTTATAACTACAGGGAAATATAAATAGAGCCATGTAGGAATATATAAGAATGAAGAATTCAGAGTGTGTAAACCTTCTCAATAAGATCCAGAACATCTTGATTATCAACAAATTCCACATAGTTCCAATTGATTTCCTCTTTTGCATACTCCTCTTGCTCCATCTTGAATACATGCTGAATGGAACAGCTTTCAGATTGTAGGATGAGAAACATGAGCCACTAAAAGACAATCAAATATGACTAACCTCATACCTGGTTGAAGTGTTGTTGCAGCTTTTCATTTGTAAAATTAATGCAAAACTGTTCGAAACTGCCAAATGATGGTGAATTAATTCAGGTCAGAATAAAAATTTATTCCAAAAGGATATAATATGACATCAGATGTTGACATGGGCTTTAAAATGACTGCTCAAAGGTGGAAGGACTCCCAAGTTCCTTAGTTGTAGCAGGGTAGGAGCTCAAGGCTCCCTATGGCTGTTTGTTCAATGACAAAATAAGAAATGAGATTCTCCACTATCCTAATGATTGTGGTTCAGGACCCCCAATCCTGAATGGCAGTATAATGTAACCCAAGTCACTAATTCTTGACAATTCAGAAAATTGTAATCCTAAATAAAATATCACACCATAACTTGCTGTGAATCTTCTAATTCAAGCCCATACAACTGCACCATTGATCAAGATAGTGCCATACCATGGTCCCTTCCTTCATAGGAAGGCATTTTCATATCCAACTGCCTATCTATCCAATTATGCGTGCACGTGTATATGCATGTACCTACTTTTGTGTGAATGTATGATCATTATTCATTCATATAATCAAGCATTACCTGTTAGCCTTAAAGCTCTCGAAACCATATATGTCAAGGATCCCAATCAGGCATTTTGAGTTAGGATCTTGCCCAATGGAGACATTAATTTTATCCACCAACCTGGACAGAATAAACGTAGATGCATCCTTAGAGGAACAGACTAAGAAACCACTTTAATGTTCTATAAGTTACCAAGCCTATAACAATGATCCATTAACTACCCGCTTACCACTCAAACAAGCGAGAATATATTGTCTTGGCCAAACCATCCCTGCTGACTGCTGCAGCATGAGGATCAAGACTTCTCTTGATGATTTCTTCTGGGGTTATCATTACACGCTTACATAGTGCATCTTCCAATGAAAGAGGATCGCACCTGAAACAATATCAACTCACATGACATTGACTATGAAAGTGAAATGAAATCTAACCATAAATCTATGAATCTCTAGTCTCACATGAGAAGCTCTGCTGTCATTTGAAGATGAAATAGGGATTGCTCATCTTTTACCACAGCTGAATCAATGTCTTCATCCTTTTCAAAATTGATATTACCAAGATGAAGAATCGCAGCCACAACTCTGAAAATAGCATCCTGGGAGAGAGATTGCAGTTATCATTTACAAACAAGTTTAACACTTTCCTAGCTGATAAATTTTATTGGCAAAGCACAAAAGAACAAATAATGATACATGAAATGCTTACAGATAATTCTATCACTATAGGCACATCATCATCCTCAAGATAATGAGTTTAAATAATAGAGGACAAGAAATGAAAAGAACAAGCATATTAGGATCAATAGCAGAGGCCAGACCTGCTCTTTCTCATTTATCCCAACAACATCCATGGCTCTCCTAGTGGTGATATACTCTTGGGCATCGCTAACACCAACCAGCTCATAGCAATTGGATTGATTAAGGTAGTGAAAAGACTTGGGATTTCCCAGCTTATATTTCTCAATCTCCTGACAAGACTCAAAGTCTATTAGCTATAATGATGGCTAGATACTTGATTGACTACAAAGGTAGGAAAAAAGAACATCTAGCTAAGATACCTACCTCTTGTGGTGCAGCACATAAAAGGTAAAAACAGTGATAGTTGCGCTCTGGGTCAGAAATTTGGCAAACACGAGACCTCTCGAGAAGATAAGTTCTGATAGCTGCTCCAGATATTCTTCCCTTCTTATCAAACTGGATCTCCACAAATTTTCCAAAACGGCTGAATCAAAATAGTCAAGATGACATCAGAAGGTAGAGACTGCCAACTATGCAAATGAGTGAAACACATTCACAATCATCCACTCTCTCTTAACAGCTGGAAAAATTACATGTGAGAAAATAGAGGAGTTATAATCTAGATACTAATAGGTTGATGTTTTCTTGTAACTATTTCCAAAGTTAATTAGCAAGCCTGCAAGTATGTGAGGTCACAATATGTAAAAGCTTCTGGTGCTTGTAGATGCAAAGACATTCTTTAAATGTTTCCATCCTTTCAGGATACAAATAAGATAACTCGGAAAAATGACTCTGAAAGGGATCTGCTTCTATATACATGAAAATCAAATTAGAAAATAGTGTCGAACAAAGTATTTTCTGATTAAGCAACAAGCACAATACAAACTAAAAGGAAGAAAAAGCAGGCATGATATTTCTCACCTAGAATTGTTATTTTTAGCAGTCTTTGCGTTGCCAAATGCTTCAAGAACTGGATTTGACTGCATACCACTAGTTAGTGCAATGACTTAAATTTTTTCTAAGTTAAAAATTCAAAGAGCATAGCTAAAATGAAAAAAAGAGGCAACCATCTAGCATTCATTTCAGCTTCAGTTTTTACAAATGATAAAAAGTAATGAACTTTGGGTATCATTACAATAGGAAAAAGAAATGCAAATAAGCATGGAAAATCCTACATTGAGCTCTAATATAGGAAGACATGTTTGTCATACATTTAGCTCTAGAATTCTTCAAATGTGCTTGTGTAAAGCTCAATGGTATAAGGGATCCATCTTATGTAAATCTCAATGGTATAAGGGATCAAAACAATAAAAACACTGTGATCAACAAAAAACCACCCATAGATCATTACCTAATCAAACATGCTAAAGTTGCCAACCAGTCCAAGATATTGTCCTTGATAATCTACTCAGTTTCCTACTTCTACATGATACCAGGATGGCTTACATAAAGCAGCATGTGTCCACCAAGACAAAACTGACTTTAAAATTTTAAACTAAGCTGCACATACCTAGGTGATTCAATCATGAGCAAGATAATTCATTACTGAACAATGTATATCAAGGTTATATGAAGTAAAAGGATCAGACCAAGAACAGTTCATGACCTCCACCTTAATAAACCACGAGAACTGAATATCAAACATGCCTAATTTTTCCTGTTCTCTGATATACAGGTCCACATCTGGGATGATGGCTTGTAGGATGCTATTAGCTAGTTTTGCATCCTATGTGGTGCCTCGGGTCCTATTCTGGCAAAATATATTTTTCTTGAAGCATTAAAAAAAATATGCAATGGTATCTGCTTGATTTGTTTTAAAATTATTCATGAGTTTCTATAGAAAACCGAATTTGTGTTATTTCACTATTATTATTATTTGTTCAGTAACATATTTTGGTACGCAGTTCTGCATGCCAAATTTGCGCTCCAGTCCATGACAAACCATAGAGGATTAGAACATTTATTTCAGTTACACTAATACTTCACAAAAAATCACAGCACAAAATTAGGACTTGCATGTTTCCTTTTGGTGTATTATGCTACACTACATGCATGCATATGTTCACACTTGGAATGGTGCATATTTAATTTGCCACCAAGTCATAACCTGCTGTGAGTGCAGTGTATTTTTTCAGTTACATACCACCTATATGTCTAAGAGAATTAATGCCTTATACACTTCTCTGTAGAATTTAGTTATCACTTTTATTTGTATGAAGTGTAGGCCCTTTCAAAACATTAACTGACATGAACCAGAGATTTATCATCCGACTTACTTCAAGAACTTGCTGTTCAACAGTCCGTCCTTCAGCACCAGAATGGCCACCCAAATATGCAAGGTAACGCATGAGCATTTTAGTTGTTTCGGTCTTACCAGCCCCACTTTCACCGCTGACCAGAATTGAGTTGCTTCTACCCTCTTTGATCATTTCCCTGTTTCATGTGTTAGTAGATAATTCCCATAATCTGTCAAGCAAGATACAAAGTGAAACGCAAACGATACATGCTCACCTATATGCAACATCAGCAATTGTAAAAACATGAGGGCTTAGTCCTTCAATTGGGGCTCCTTTATATCGCTCCATCACGTAAACATCGTATAAATGTGAGAGTGGTTGAAACGGATTGACAGCAATTAGAATGTTTCCGCTATAAGTCTGCAGTGACATCAAAACATTATAATACAGTCACACTTGATGAAGCAATTGCTATAACGAACATCAATCAACACAACTTAAAAGACAAGGTAATCTTACATAAATTTCATTGATTTCATATCTAGTTGCCAAATTGTGAAGGACTGCAGGCTCATGTAAATACTGCAGCCTAGTCATGTCATCAACTCCACCGGAAGGAGCCTCCACATCATTCGGATAAATCCTCGATGAACTTACAGCAACCTGCTCAACATGAGAATAAAATGCACAAATTAGACTGCATCATAATAAATAATTCAAAACAACTATCATAATAAATTCAATTTCACAACGAAGAAAATCCCTCACTGTCTTTCCATCACTAGTTTGAACCTCAACTTCATCTTGTTCAATATTAATTACAATTCCATCTATCCAACCTACTTCAGGATCTTCAACCCAAACATGAGAACCAATTTCCACATTCGCCGGCATTCCCTGCAACGGTTAAATTTACTAAAAATAAATAAATACTTAACAATGCAAATATACTAATGGAATAAATTGAGATAATTAATATCATCCATTTTCAATTCCAATAAATCTTGTAAGGAAAGAAATTGATCAAAAATCACATACCATTATAATCTTCTAGGTATCGACAGATTAAGTCTGCATTAAAAAACCATTGAAATCTTTGAAAGAGAGAGACGCCATGTTCCAGTTCCAGTTCCAGTTTTGTCCCCAACGCGGCACCGAATTTACCCAAATTATCGTGAAAGAAATTATCTTGGTGTGGAGCTGTCGCAGAAACCATCAATTTCTCCATTTTTGTAGCCTGTCTCTTGAGCCCCTTTTGACGGAGAAGCGGGTAAAAATGCCACCCGTCCCTAACTATATTTAAATCGAATTGAATTGAATTCAGTATTATTCTCTCTTAAGAGAAGAAAATATATATATAAAAAAAAAGAACCACAAAGATCTTTTGGAGCTACAAGGGGCCAAAGCCCGAAATCAAAAGGACCCACTGAGTTAGCCGACAAGAGAGTCCAGAGCTCCTCTGGGACTACATCAAGTCTTTTCATCGCTAGGTCCATATCATCTCCAAACCTGGCGCAGCAGTCAGCACAGATGTGGCCCTCTTTTCGTATGCGCGCCTGCATGAAAATGAACTCCAGTGGCCTTCCTCTTGGTTGAGAGATTTTTCAGAGAAAGGGGGAGTGAGCATCCTGCGACATATCCCTATTACGCAGCAGAGTAATGACACGTTGAATATCACTTTCCACGATGATTTTCCTTTAACCTTTGTCCCATGCAAGTTCTAATCCATGAATGACAGCCCAAAGCTCGGCTTTAATTGAAATGCAAGTGCCAGGTTAATTTGCATGCAAATCCCCCTAGAAACCTACCTACCACACCAGCCCCTGATAATTCCTCCAGCACCAGCGTCTCTCGGATTGCCCCTACTAGTTCCGTAGATATTGAGTTTTATCAACTTCTTGGGAGGAGGCGTTCATTTGTAGCTGCCAGTTCCCACCGCTTGTTTTCCCAATAGGTGGGCCTTGGTGATGTCCATGAAATTCATGATAGCAAAGTTGTAGATGTCCTTGAAGTCTCACTTATTTCGCCATCCCCACAGGCTCCAAACAGCAATACCATCTTTTTTAAGTGACCTGTAAGGTTGCTTATACACCAATCTCCCCGATAATATGAGAAAAGCATTTACTTTTCGTCATCGAGGAGGAGCTTTGACCAGGATAATCACGAAGACCATGAAACACAGATTCAGCAATACCCTGACAACAATAACAACCAGCAGGGTCTTGGGTAAGCGACGGATATGCCTGTGTTCACTTAGGAGGATGTTACAGTGATTTTAATTTAGAAATATATTAAAAATATTTTTAAAACATAAAAAATAAATAATTTAAAATAAATAAATCAAAATTTTTAGAACTCTTGAAACATCCTCTAGCTTGTCATGAAAAATACAAAATTAAATTTTTTTATAAAATGTAATATTTTTCCACTCTCTAAATTTTTATGGAATTTAAATAAATACATTTTAGAGGTTTTCTGAGTGTCACACTATTTTCAAATAAAAAAACTAAAATGTAACTCATACAAAATACACACACACATACTATTTTTTAGCGATGTAAAATATTAATATTTTTAAAAAGACAATTAACACCCTTTTAACCCATAATGGTGGATTTATCTACTACTTGTTTTTTCTCTTTAGGAAACCTAACTGGGTTACTTGAATTGTCGCCTCAGAAAGTCACGTCGACGTCGAGACTTCTTGGTTTTTTTATTTGATAATAAGTAATATCTACTAATTTATATATTAGTTTTTTTAATAATTTTAATATATTAATATTAAAAATAAAATAAATATTTCTAAATATAAAATACTTTTAAAAAATAACTTAGAATTCAAGTACAGTTTCTAGTTTCTTGTACTGACTTTAGAAGGAGCAGTCAGGACAAGGATTAGGACTAACAACCATTCTAATCACCAATTAACCTTTCACTAATCCAAAAGTCTGATACGGATGATGCTCAACTGCTTCCACGTGTCAAATAAAAAAGAAATGTCAAATCCATAGAAGGCCCTTTTAGCCTTTTCAAAAAATCTTCTAGCCAAACAAGCTAGAAAGAAGCAGCTCCTGCTGTTGCGAAGGATCGCTTGAAAAGAGAAGAAAGAAGAAGAAGAAGGAAATGGAGACACCCGCCTCGTCATCATTATCACAGCTTCAAATTAATGAAACCCAAACCCTAATTCCAGGTCTGCCAAACGACATCGCATCACTAATTCTGTCATTGATCCCATACTCGCACCATGCCCGCATCAAACCTACTTGCAAATCGTGGCACGCCTTTCTCTCCTCAACCAAAGCCCTATTTTCACTCCGCCGTCATCCCCGCCGCTCTAACCACCTCTTAATAATCTTCCCGCAGGATCCATCCATCTCTGCTCCTTACCTATTCGACCCGCAAAACCTGGCTTGGCGCCCACTTCCACGCATGCCATGTAACCCTAACGTCTATGGACTCTGCAATTTCACTTCCATTTCGATGGGCCCTAATCTATATGTTCTCGGAGGGTCTCTCTTCGACACCCGGTCTTTCCCCATGGACCGTCCTTCTCCAACATCGTCTGTTTTTCGGTTTAATTTTGTCGATTTCTTGTGGGAGGAACTGTGTCCAATGTTGTCACCGCGTGGTTCTTTTGCCTGTGTGGCGGTACCTGATTCGGGGCAGATAATTGTGGCTGGAGGAGGGTCGAGGCATGCGTGGTTTGGTGCGGCGGGGAGTAGGATAAGTTCGGTGGAGAGGTATGATGTCGGAAAAGGTGAGTGGGTGGCAATAGAAGGGTTGCCGAGATACAGGGCAGGCTGTGTGGGTTTTTTGAGTGGGAATGGGGAGGAAAGGGAGTTTTGGGTGATGGGAGGTTATGGAGAGTCGAGGACGATTTCGGGGATTTTTCCCGTGGATGAGTATTATAAGGATGCTGTTGTGATGGACCTGAAGAAGAGTGGATGTGGGAAGTGGAGGGAGGTTGGCGATATGTGGGGTGACGCGGGTAGAGGGAGGCTCGGGAAGATTGTTGTTGTCGAGGAGGATGAGGGCCGGCCTGCTGTTTTTATGCTTGATGAGAATGAGATTTTCAGGTGAGTCATTAGATTGTTTGTCCTGTTATTGCTGTGAAGTTTTTTGAATTGTTAGTGTTTGTTCTGTCTTTGAAGTAAGAGTTGACAGCTATCTGATCGAAGTATTAACTACCTCATTGGTATTTATAGTTAGGGATTCTGCTGTGTAATGTTTCTTTTAGATGTCATTTGATTGTTCTCTGTCGGATTCTGCTGTGTTAGGAGCTTGTTTCGAAGTGTGGTTGCTGTTATTTTTTAAATAGTTTTTTAAATAGTTTTTTGTGCTAAAATACATACTAATAATTTTTTTTATTTTTTAAAAATCATTTTTAATATCAAGATATTAAAATGATTTGAAAAACTAAAAATATATTAATTTGAAATTAATAAAAAAATAAAAAATTTTCAAATTTTTTCAAAAATATTTTTAAAACACATAAACAAATAGGCCCATCGTAGAAGCTACAACAATTCAGTTTCATTTAATGAACTAGAGAGCATTTTAAATTAAGTAGAGTAGATCGTACAAGTAGGCATGGACCCCCTACTAGTAAGTAAATGGAAAACCATTTACTAGCTGAAAAGCCCTTCCATTGCAACTTTTGGGCCGGGGGGGGGGGGGGGGGGGGGGGGGGGGTTTGGGG